ATTGAGATATTTCACTCAACATAATGTCTTCCAGGGTCATCCATTTTGTCTAATATTTCGTGAGGTCCTTGCTTTTCAGTGCTGCATAGTATTCCCTTGTGTGAATATACCACAGTTTCTCTATCCATTTGTTGATGGGCACTTGGGTTGTTTCCAATGCTTTGCTATTGTGAACAAAGCAGCAGTAAACATAAATGTGCATATATCTGCTTGGGTGGCAGTTCTGGTTTCTTTAGGCTATATTCCCAGTAGTGGAATTGCTGGGTCAAATGGTATTTCCAACTTTTTGGAAGACAGCACCATACCGCCTTCCACAGTGGTTGCCATTTTACACTTTCATCAACAGTGAATAAGAGTTCTAGTTTCTCCACAACCTCTCCAGCATTTGTTGTTTGCTGCTCTGTTGAATTTTGATATTCTTACTGGAGTGAGATGATGTCTCATAGTTGTTTTGACCAGCTTAGTTCTTAACCCACCTGTTGCTCTATGGGAGAAAGATACTTTTAAAAAGATTTATAACCTGAAAACCATATGGGCCAGCCTTCTGTCCTACAGGGTTTTGGTGAGTTGGATTTAGTTTAAGGGAACACAACAACAAAAATTCACCTAAAGAAAGGCAAGGGAATAGTTAACACAAAAAGTTCAGGATTATGGTGACATTTTGGAGAGCAGGAAGGGGGATTATGTTCAAAAACCATACAATTTTCTTTTCATTTTTTTAAAAATTAGTTTACATACAAAGTTCATAAAGTTTATATACACTGTTTTCCATACTGGATCTTTTCTGTTTCCTTTACCCACCTCTTCCTCCACCCATCAAGTTGTGTGACCCTATGCTTAAGCTCCCCCAATCCTCATACTCATTCTATAGAAATGGTCTTATACAGTATTTGTCCTTATGAGACTGAGTTAGTTCACTCAGCATAATGCTCTCCAGTCCCTCCCATGTTAAGTAATAATTTACAAAATCATTGTGTCTGTGTGCTGCATAGTATTCCATTGTGTGAATGTGTTATTATGTTGTTAAGTGCTATTGAGTCGCAGGCGACTCATAGCGACCCTATGAATGAAAGCCCTGGACACTTCCTGTATAACTTTCGTCCTTTCTCCAGGTTCATAGGGTTTCCAGAGGCAAGCTATTGTGGAATTGGATGCCACTCTTGCTTCCAAGCTTGTTTAATTGGGGAGCTTCACCAAACACTGTCCACCATGGGTAACCATTATTGCATTTGACACATCAGTGTCACAGTGTTCAGCTTCATAGCAACCACGAGTTACCTCTATACAGCAAGTGGACAGACTAGGGTTACATGACCTAGAAGAATGTTTCACCAAAAACAGTTAAAGCCGCAGACAGAATTTTAAGCTAGGGCCTGGAGCAGGCTCCGCAGGCTTGACCCCTCCCTTATTTATCCTTACACAAGCATGATGTCCTTCTTTAGGGACTGTCCTTTCTTCATTAAGATCCCAAAGTATGTAAAAGATGTCACCATTCTTGCGTCTGAGGAGCATACTGTCTGCACTTCTTCCAGCATAGATTTGTTCTTTTGGTAGTCCATGATATGTTTAATATTTTCTGCCAGCACTTCAAAGCTATCACATCTTTGGTCTTCCTTATTCATTGTGCAACTTCCGCATGCATGTGAAGCACTTGAAAATACCATGCTTTGAGTCAGCCACATTTTAGTCCCCAGAGTGACAGCTTTGCTGTTTAGCACTGAAAAGAGACCAAGTCCTTGGCTGGGCATTTGCCCAATGCAATATGTCTCTTGATTTCTTGACTACTGCTTCAGTGTGTTTTGTGGGTCCAAGGAAAATGAAATCCTTGGCAATTTCAATCTTCTCCATTTATCCTGATGGTGCCTATTGATCTTAATGTGAGGGTTTTGGTTGTTGTTATGTTGAGGTCTAATCTATAGTCTTCTTTCTCCCTCCTTCCTTCAGTAAATGCTTAAAAAGTTCTTTTTACCTTTTAGCAAGCAAAGTTGTATCAGCTGCAGATTGCAGGTTGTTGAATCGTCCTCTATACTGGTGCCATGCCTTCCCTGATATTAAACATCTTGTCTGTGTCTCTTCTTGTCTCCGCATGGGCACAATTATGTATCCTGGAATTCCCTTTCTTCTCATTGTTATCCTAATTTATTATGATCCACACAATCAAATGCTTCTGGATAGTCAATAAAAGACAAGTATTCAGGGAGCTCTCATGGCCTACTGGCAAGAAGCTGCACTGCAATCCCAGAGATACGCAGTTCGAATCCACCAGATAGATGCTCTGCTGGAGAAGGAGGGACAATCTCCTCCTGTACCAGTCAGATCCAATTTGATGCTACACACACAAAAAATAATCTTAAAAACCCAAAACACAAGTACTCATCTTTCTGGTATTCTAGGGTATATCTTACAAATATACAATGAAAAATGTTAGGTATTTAAGATGATTCATTGCAACATTGTTTGTAATAACAAAAAATGAAGGCAGATGAAATGTTAACAATATGGGCCATACTAACAAGTCATAGATTGATATGTTAAAAAGAAAAAAGAATCTATTTTGAAAAAAATTTAGATTTCAGTGAAAAAAGTAGGATGCAGAGTGTATATAATTAGATCCTATAGGTATTAAGGGAATTTTCATGACTTAGTGGTAAGGAATTATGCTGCCAAACCCAGGGTACACAGCTTGAATCCACTAGCTTTCTCTGTGGGAGAAAGATGATAGTTTCCTCCCATGCAATTTACTGCCTCTGAAAACTTGCTAGAGCATCAAATATGTGTTTGTTCTGATTTGATGGTACACAACAACAGACAATAACATATGTATTAAAGATGGAGAAACAGGCATTTTGTTGATATATGTATAATATGCCTCTTAGAAGACTAAAGAGCAAAAGGTGTAAATTAGTTGCTTGTGGGATGTTGTTTGAGTACCTGTGAGATAGTGGGTGGCAGGAGAATTGTCAATATTTTATTTTTATGTATGTTGATGTTGATGTTGGTGTAATACGTGGTATTTGAATTTTTTAAATATTTGTGTATATTGATATGTTTGTATGGTATAAATATACATATTGTATGATTTGAAATTAAAATTGCATTTAAAAGAGAAGAAAAATAATCAGCCTTTTGAAGAATTTCATCACTTACTTGCCACATCAATGAGGTCTTAACTATTCTTGATACTTACTGCATGCTTGCTTATGATTCTTAATTGATGTTTTTGTCATAACTTATTAGTATTTCTTTGAGAGTTAGAATAGTGCTTTATACATCTTTATTTATTTAACTGTGGTGTCTGTAACCTAATGCCTTTTGTATAATTGAAATTCAGTTTGTTTAATTAATCTTAACTAACGTGTTGTGTTGTCATGTGCCTTTGATACGGAACAGACCTGCAGCAGACCCTCTAGTGGCTTTTCAGAGGCAGGAAATCACACTGGAGGAGATTGCTTATCCTCTCCTGTGGAGCAGCTGGCGGATTAGAATTGTGCATTTGGGATTTCAGCACAGCTTCCTGCCACTAGGCCACCAGAGCTCTCTAACATGTTGTTGTTGTTGTGTACCATCAAGCTGGAATAGACCCATAGCTTACCCTCTGGTAAGTTTTCAGAGGCAGATGTGAAGAAATTGCCCATCTTTCTCCCATGGAAGAGCTGATGGATTTGAACTGTTTACATTTGGGATTGCAGCACAGATTCTTACCACTAGGCCACCAGACAGGTTGTTCTTTGGAAAGGGATGTCACACTTAATAGGTGGAGTATCAATAAAGGAGAGGAGGACCTTCAGTGATACGGATTGACACATTATCAGTAGCAATGGACTCAAAGGTGTCAAGGATGATCAGGATGGTGCAGGATAGGACAGAGTTCAGATCTGGTTTTCACAGGGTCACTAAGAGTTGTACTCAACTCGATGGCATTTAAGAACAACAATAATGACAAATTAACAGTGCAGCAATTGTACTTGTGGTTCTTTTATGTTATTAGACATGGTTCTGAGAATAATCCTTTGAAATAGTTTTATATGCATATAAATTTTTAAATGTCTTCTTGTTTTTAAATAAGAATATATAGTTTGATTATGTATTTTAGCTTTCAGTTGTCAGTGACAACATGATGAGACTATTGAATCCAAAGAGGTGATCTGTGGGTTCACCTGTTTAGATGAGCAATTGGATGTATAAAATTCATTTTACTGTAAATTTATTGCATTTTTGGTTCCTTTTCTAAATGAAGCCACTTTCTCAAACCCTTGGCTAATCTGGTGGTCTTTATTAAACTCAGTGACCTTTTTAATTTGTGAGGTAGTTTTATAGAGCTGTGTGAAACAGCTCAGTTAGCTAGATGAGGGACACGTTTATGTGTACCTCATACTTTCCCCTTGTGTTTCTTCCTATTCCATTGCTTCGTCTAGTTATTAAATTTTATTTAACATAATGCTTTGGTATTTTATTTCCAGATGTTAATTCTGAAAATGCTCATAGCTTTCAGTTCTCTGTGCAGTATCTCTTTAACATCAATGCGTATAAGGTGGAAAGGAGAAAGGGAATGGAGGAGTTAGAGAGATAGAGCAGCCTGAAGTATAAGCAACATTTCCTCATCTTTTCATGTTGCCAGGAAATAATGAAGAACAGCAATGCAGTACAGTGAATGAATGCATTTGTTGCTCTTACCTGTACATCTTACTATCTAGAAACTTTATTGTTATTTTTATGTGCCATCCGAACTGAGTCATAACTCCAGTAGGTTTTTGGAGGCTGTAAATCACACAGGAGGAGATTGCCTATCTTTCTCCCTCAGAGCAGTTGGTGACTCTGAATCGCCTGTTTTTGGGTTCTCAGTACAACTCCTTACCTACTAGGCCACCGGAGCTCCTCCAGAATTTAGGTCCTTTCAATAACTGGTTTTGGTTGTTTTCCAAGTAAGGGGAAGAGGTAACCCTGTGCACTTTGCATATGCTGCTCTTGTGCATGAGTTAAGCCCATGTTCTTCTCCACAGGGTTGAGAATGCTTGCACCAAGCTGGTCCAGGCAGCCCAGATGCTGCAGGCAGACCCTTACTCAGTACCTGCTCGAGATTATCTGATCGACGGATCAAGAGGCATCCTCTCTGGCACTTCTGACCTGCTCCTTACCTTCGACGAGGCTGAGGTAGGCCATTTGATGCCTCTTCTAAGCTTTTGCCCTACTGGCTATCAAGGGGTGCTTGGACTGGAGAGCTAATCATGAACCTGAGCACCCTGGGCAGCTTTAGACCTTACCACACTTTCTTAGATCACTCTCAAGAAATATTTGGAAGGATATCCCTTTGTTTCTTATTTTTTATTAAAATGTGGTTGTGATAGTTAGATCTTGCCCATTCCTGAGGAGAGATGAGTGAGCTAACTGTGGTCTCACCTCCAACCAACAACTAAGTCTTAAAGAGAATGATGGAGGAGTGATATTTGTGTAGGATAAGAAAATGTTGAGTAACGACACGTCTGTACTCTTGTGTTTCTGCTAATGGTCCATTCACTTAACTGAATACTCTGGAGTCAATTTGCAGGTTCGTAAAATTATTAGAGTATGCAAAGGAATTTTGGAATATCTTACGGTGGCAGAAGTGGTGGAGACAATGGAAGATCTGGTCACTTACACGAAGAATCTTGGACCAGGTTAGTTGTATCCAGTTTTTTATGTTATGTTTCTTATGGCTTGTCCAAGTAGGTGCTCTACTTGTTTGCCCCTCCCTAATTTATGCACAAGCTAAATGGTGGCCCCCAGCTGATGGGTCTTTCAGGGTCTACTCAGCTGATGACACTGATGTTATGCTTGTCATGGGACGGTATCATTGTCTCTGCAAGCTGAATCTGCTGTCTATAAATCCTGAGCTGTCTAATGAATTAAACCAGACGTTGCTAATGTTGCTAGAAAATGTAGGAAATTTTTTCCCATTACTGTAATGCTGCAGCCCACCCTGAATTCTGACCTCTTTATTCCACATTCCATGGCATTCCTTCACTGTCTGCCAACTCTTTATGACCTCTGAGCTTGCTAATTAATCCACCTACTATTATGGATTCATGCCCTAGCCCACGCCTGCAAAATATAATCAGACCTAGGAGGAGACAGCACCATTGTGGTTAAAACTTCTTTTGAAATGATTTAGACTTCTGAAAAGGAAATTATCAAAATGCATGAACAGATGCCAGCTTTTGATGGTGTAGACTTACAATGTGAACTTGAGGGTCCTTAGGGTATGAATAAGACTGTTGAGAAGACAGGTGAGATATTCACCTTCTCAGTATTGCGAATCACATACTTCTTCATAAAATTCTATTGACAGAATCTAAACCTGTCCTTGGAAGGACCTGTCTTAAGTAACGTTTGGGTTTTAATGAACAGTATTTTGGTGAGATCCTAATGTCGTTGTTTTGCAAACTTAGTGACAATGAAGAATTTTTCTGAGCCACCGTTGGAGGGCACTGAGAAGTTGCTTTCTTGGACAGTCATTGCTGTTGTCATTGTGTACCATTGAGTCAGAATCTTACCGTAACTTACCTTCGAGCAGTTTTCCAGAGGCTGTAAATTGCTTGGGAGGAGATTGCCAATCTTTCTTCTATGGAGTAGCTGGTAAATTTGAACCATGTACCTTTGGGTTGGTAATGCAACTTCTTACCATTAAGCTCTTGATAGCCATGCGAGCAGTACTTTTAAAACTTTCTTACAGCCCTGTTGTTGTTGTTGTGTACTTTTGAGTTGAAACTGACCCACAGCTGATCCTCTGGAAAGTTTACAGAGGCAGTTAATCTCCAGGGAGGAGATTTCCCATCCTTCTCCCATAGAGCAGCAGCTGGTGGCCTTGAACTGGGTGCCTTCTGGATTGCAGTGTATTTTCTTGCCACTAGATCATCAGAGCTCCCCTTATAGCCCTAGGGGAATAAAAATTCTACTCAAATAAATTTCTTTGTAATATCTGAACAAGCATGAAATAAAAAATAAAGCCTCTTTGGGTGAAGCAGCAGCAGCTCCTCGTCCCCTCCTCCTTTGGGGTCACTTGGTGTGTGAGAATTCGAGAAACACCAGGAGCAATCTCATAATCAGAGCCTTAGGAAATCCACAGTGCCTTTGAGTAATAACAAAGTAAACAGAAAGTGCTAGCAGGCTGCTTCCAAAACACCAGATGCTTCCAAACAGTGTCATCACCATGCAGATTTTAAAAATAATATTTTATTTGTTTCTAATTATAAAAGTAGTACATGCTTATTTTGGACAAATTGGAAAGTACAGAAGAAATAGGAAGATGAAAACAGAATACATCATTGCAATTCTTAAAAGACTTTTTTCCAGCCACCAGATTCTTAGTACTCGATTCACATGAGGGATTCTTACACAGTGTAAGCTTAAACTGTGCCTTAAACTGTGGCACTAAACCTGTACCCGTGGTATCCTGGCAAGTAGTTCTTTTTCTCCTGGCTTATGCATTTATTTTTTATAAAAGTACATTTATTTCAATATTTATCCATTGTGGATATATTAAATCAAATCTCAAGTGCATATCCCATTGAGGATTTACATTGAATAAATTTATTTTGTTGAAAAGATGAAAATTGTGTTAAGCCACAACAATCCAGAATAAAACCCCTCGTATTATGCATGTTAGAACTGTGATGGTGTCTACCAAGTAAATAAAGACAGTTTGCACTTCCAGAGCAGATTTAGGTGAGGCGTGCCGGAGCCTGATTGTCACAGGCCTCACCGTGCTCCTGTGTCCCTTCCCGCAGGAATGACGAAGATGGCCAAGATGATTGACGAGCGACAGCAGGAGCTCACACACCAGGAACACCGTGTGATGCTGGTGAACTCCATGAACACTGTCAAAGAGCTGCTGCCTGTTCTCATTTCAGGTAGCCTCAGCCTCTGCTGTACTTTGCAAGAAGAGAACATTAACATTCTCTAACTTCAGGGCTAATGCTCTTTTGCTTCTTTATTACATGTCTGTTCAACAAACTCAAATTTAATTACCATCGAGTCACAACCAACTCACAGGTGACCCTCCTGCGGGTTTTCTGAGGCTGTAAGTTGCAGATTGCCCATGTTTCTCCTGTGGAGCCGTTGGTGGATTGGAACCATCAGAGAGGTTCCACCTTTGGGTTAGCAGTACACCAGGCAAGCCCTTGTGTGTCTTTTAGCCCGGGTAAAAACTAAGATAAACCTGTGGCCAGTGGACTGAGAACCAGCATTCATCTTTCTTGTTCTGTGCTTGAAGCTTGCATTCTGTGGCCCTGTTCTGTCAGAAGCTCTAATAGATCCTCTTCTGGGGAAGTGGGATTGCCACTAGAAACTCTAGTCTTAGATGTATGACTTTTGATGTCTTTATTTTAGAAAACTCTTAGAAGTTGGCACAGATGTTACTGAGTATTGTGACAAAGAAGTGAATGAGAGCCCTTTATAGCCTTCAGTTAACATAGTTTTACCTGAAAGCCATTGAATTGTTGTCTGTGTTATTGACTGGATCTGTTCTGCAGCCACCAGCAGGGACCATGCTCCCACTGGGCAGAGCCCCCAGCAATGCAGACACAGTGGCTTCTTGCACAACTAGTAAAAGAGTATCAGGTGCATTTATTGAGCATTTGGGGTGTGTGTGTGTAGCACCTCCTGGTTTATACACGTTCTCAAGCTGTAGGTGAAGAATTTGCATTATTCTCTAAGGGCAGTCTTCTTTTCAGAATTTTTGAAGTCACTGTGACTCCCTGCTACTGTTTACTTCCTTTAGCTTTTAAGATAGTAGCTCAAAAGGAAGATAGGAATGTAGAATTCAGAAAGTCCTTACATGAATTAGAGAATAAAATTTTGTAACTGGAACCCTATCATCACTATGAAAATGTATTTTGAGGCCAGTTTCTGACTTGGGGAAGTCAGGAAAGTGGTGAATTATGTCTAAAGTTTGAATTATTCTGTAACCTGGAAGATAAATTCCCCGTCTTGGAATCCTGGGATTGGAGCAGCAGGATGGACCAGGCACAGTTACCGATTATTTTTTTTATTCCAGTGGATTTTCATTACATGGAGTCAGTGGTTGGACCACCATGATAATTAAGATTGTTCTTTGTGATTCTCAGTCATCAGTACATTCATGTTGAATTAGTTCCCTAATCTTGTTTTATGTTATTTTTTTTACCTTGTATTTTCTTTACCAGGATGTTTTGTTCGTAGTGGAGCATTACTGACAAGCTTAGCTATATTTGTTTGGTGTCCTCTTTGTTGTTGAGTCAATTATGACTCATACTTGACCATCCAGTGGATTTCCAAAGCTGTAAATCTCATGGAAGAAACTACGCACCTTTCTTATGTGGAGCAACTGGTGGATTTAAAAACCACAGAAGCTCACCTTTGGGTATTTCTTTACGCCACTCCCTTAGGAACACTTGAAACCCAGGCATGCATTCAAAGCAGGGACAGCGCATCTCATGTTATACTGAAAGATTAAATCTCAAGTTTAGTGTGTTCCATAATTTATTTTTATAGCTATGAAGATTTTTGTGACAACTAAAAATTCAAAAAACCAAGGAATAGAAGAAGCTTTGAAAAATCGCAACTTCACCGTAGAAAAGATGAGTGCTGAAATTAACGAGATCATTCGTGTATTACAACTTACTTCTTGGGATGAAGATGCCTGGGCCAGCAAGGTGAGTGTCGGAGGATAAATGAGTGGAATCCCAGAGGTTCAGGTTCCTGCCCTAATGTGTGTAGCATAGAACAACTTGAATATTACAGAACGAATTTCTTCTTTACTTTTATTGCCTTTGTAAATCTCCTTTCTTGCTAAAGTAGATCAGATAGGCATGTGGAGTGAGTGTTGGTTGAAGACCAACGGTGTGGTTTTCCCTTCAGGCTGGAGTCTCTGTGGTTTGGCCAGTGGAGGACTTGGGGTGTGGAACCTGTTCTTCTTATTGAAAGCAGGACCAGTGAGCCCTGACTTATCTGTGGGTGGTTGTTGCCAGATGACTAGTTTAGATACAGAAGACCTCTGTGACTTCCTGAGCTGTATGAAAAATTTTTCCTCAGCGGTCTTCGAGGCAGAGAAATCTCCAGATGGAACTCTAGGGCATTTTTAGATGTGCCCCTCAAGTCATCCCATTTTTCTGTAAGGATAACATTTTTTTAATAGCTTAATTTCTTTTTAATTATAATTTGAGTGAAAGTATACAAAGTGAATTGGTTTTCATACACATTTTGTTTCCTAACATTAATTACAGTATACATAAGTTGTTCACACTTTTCCCACCCCATCCTCTCTGTAGTTCACCTTTCCACAAATCCTTTAAATCTACCCCTGCCTTCAGGGCATCCTTCCTGGTCAGAGGCTGCTCTTTGAACCTATTTGGTTGGTTATGCTAAGGACTCAGTGCCTCCCTGGTACTCCTGGTCCCCTTCTAGGCCTATCTGTTTGAACATTGAGCCATGGTGTTTTGTTCCAGGATCAAAGTGTGCCTAATGGCTATAGGCTCAAGGGTTCTACTGGTTTCTATTAAAGCAGCAAGCCTGGCTTTTTTTATATTTTTGAATTTTAGTCCACATTAAGAAAAGCAAAGTATTTGTTTTCACATTCATCATTTATCATGAGGCTCCCTTCTCTGACTCCCTGAGGAAATCTTAATTAAAATACCAGTTTTCAGTATTCATCAGTTAGTTTGAGAATTGCCCTTTCTCTGCCTAGCATCTCTTCCTGGACACTTCAGGGTGAGTGGAGGGATGTCTTGTAGAGCCTGTTAGCAATAGCGTTATTTCTGCTCCTGGTGGGCTTCTCCCTAGAAGTTTCCAGGCCTGAAAATTCAGGTTGACACTTTCCTTATGTAGGAGCCCAAGATGAAGGCAGTCGTGTGAACACAGTCTCCCCGATCTGTCTTCCCCGTATGTAACCTAGAGACTGGAATGCCACCGAGCAGTCAGCACTAGGTTTTCTAATGTGACTTCCATTAGGTGTTTAGTAGGGCTCTGTTTTTACCTTGGAAGCCTACAAGGTAAGGGCAAGGTTGGAGCCTGATCAGGGCAGCCCTCCTTCACGTTTCTTAGAAAGGCAACCCAAATACCTACCTGTGCAGAATGAATTAGTCAAGTGTGTCTTAACCACAGTTTGTTTACAGAAACATCTTCTTGTTGACAGTTCTTGAAATAGCTCTAAAACAATTTTAAATCTATGTGGTAAAGCCTTAAGTCTTTGATGTTAATTCTTTTGCACACTTGACAACTTTTACTTTCCTGTTAAGACTTCTTTATGCATCTTTTTTGTTGTTGTTCTCTTGTTTGTTTTATTCTCTTTTTTCTCACATTTAGAAGGTAAGCTTTCCCTTGCCCTATAGTTTTGTTTTGCTTAAACAGAGAACAAGCATGTCTGCGAGAGTTTTGTGCTGTGTGCTGTGCCTTGTTTCGCGTGCTAGTGTGTGACACTGCCTCACTCCATATCAGAATGAGGGTGACCGTGGGACTCAGGCTGTGCTGAGCAGGCTGGTGGACTCGGCCTCTAATAGAGCTTTTTCTCTGGGGGAAAACAAAAGGAAAATCATTGCTGTGAGACCTCATACTTTTATATTTGGTGCATCCTTTCATCTCTAGAGCAGGCTCCAGAGAATTGCTTTGGCCTGACCATTCCCACTGACTTCATTTGAGGGATGAGCTTGCTCAGGAAAGGATGTTTCTGATCGATGTCATGTCTGGATTTGCTCTGCAGATGGTCTCTTGAGAATGCTCTTGAATTTTACTTTTGTGTATCTGTCATCAAGGTTCTAAGCCAGAAGAAAAGGGAGGGAGGAGTGGTCAGAGATATTCAGGGAGGAATCTGTCCATTATAATCCTAGGCTTAGAATACAAAAGATGTAGCTGAAGAGTTTTCTAACTTCACTTAATAGCTCACTGCATGCTCTTCTGTCTGCAGTGAATCAGCCATTGTTCTCTATGACCTCATGTCCCCTGAGCTAGCCTCTTTGCTTAAGTTTTTGCAAATGAGAATGGGTAGTGAGGAGGAACAGGCATTGAGCCTTAATCATTCAGTGTTTTTAGAGGGGGTAAGTCATCATTTAGTCCATGGTATTTCTGAGCTTTGGCTTGTACAAGTACCTCCCCCCCCCCTTTTTTTTTTTGCAAGTACCCTTAAGAGCTGCTGCTGCTGCTGGGTTTTTTTTTTAAAAGCAGTTGCCATTTTTAGGAGTAAGATTAGGTTCTTGGGGGAATTTGTAAGGGAAATAGACTTGGTCTATACTGTGTACTTTGAGTGTGGTGCTGGGGAAGAGTGTTGAACATACTGTGGATTATTAGGAGAACAAACAGGATTGTCCTGGAAAGGGTGAAACCTGGCTACACACTGGAGGCAAGGATTTTGAATCTGTCTGACATACTTTGGGCACGTGGCCTGGAGGGACCAGTCCTTGGAGAGGGACATCATGCTTGGAAAGAGGGATGGTGTAAGAGAGGAAGACACAGGATGAGATGGATTGACTTAGTGACTGGAGAAATGTGATTAGATTTCTCAGAGGTGGTGAGATTGGCTCAGGATAGGGCAGGGTTTAGCGCTAGTATACCTAGGGTCACCATGAGTCTCAGGTAATTTTATGGCACATTAACAACAAAACAACAGCATACTGTGTACAGTTTTGTAGCTGTTCAGTGTTACGCTGATTTGAAGGAACCAGATTGTTTTGATGCTGCAAAATTTTGTCAAGAATGAAAGAAAGCAAAATATATTAATTCACACAAACACAAAAACCCAGATACATAATAACATCAGGGTAGGCAAGAAATGTTTCTTTTTTAACCTAATTTTGTGTTTGTAATATATTACCTGGTTAAAAAAAGAAAAATGCTGTATAATAAGATGTAGATTGTAAGTCTTAACTTCCAATCTTGTCCCCATGTATTCCACGTTGCCCCACTTCCTAACGGTGTTTTCAGGGGCAGAAATATTAATTGTTGTTAATTGCTATGAGTCACTTATGACTCATAGCACCCCTACAAGCAACAGATCAGAACTTTGCCCTGTTGTGTCCCATCCTCACCATCTCTGACAGGCTCCTATCCACTGTTAGAGCCACTGTGTCAATCCATCTGATTGAGGGTCTTCCTCTCTTTCGCTGACCCTCTCTCTACCTTTCCCAGCATAATGTCTTTTTGCAGTGGAACATTCAGTACTCTATGTCAACACCACAATTCAAAGGCAAAAGTATTTAATTGAAAAAAAAATTACCTTGAAAATAGTAACTGGTGGTGAGAACTTTGATTATTTGTTCAATTTAGTCACAAGATGCATTTTCCCCCTTCTATTTAATACGTATAGTATTTTCCACCTGCTTTTGCCTCTCAATAGAGAATTGGGAATAGTGAGCACTGGTCGCTTTGAGGGTAAGGGGCTGCACTGCCAGCCCAAGGCACATAGTTTGAATCTACCAACTGCTTCATGAGAGGAAGATGAACAATCTCCCATGCAGTTTATAGCTTCTGAAAATCTGCTGGAAAGTCAACTACACGTCAGTTCTGACTCAACGGCACGTAACAACAGTAAAGACCTAACTTGGCCGTAAAGTACTTGTTTCATACTTCACCATTGGTGCAGTTTTCTTCTAGAAAGTTTTCCTCTAGAAAAGTAAGAGGGGAAAAAAATTTGGTCAAGTGCATTTTACCAAGTAAAGTTTTAAAGAGTCAGAATAAAAATTAGAGAGTGACTTTTCCTTTTCTATTCAGATAACACGTTTGTAGTTTGAAAAAATAATAAAACACTGCCCTATCTTTCAATCAAGAATCATTTTAAAATGACCATAAAAATTAATTTAGCACTTTTCTGGCTATGCCCTATTAAACAAAAAAATTTCTGAGTTGAACAACTGCATTCTAACCTTTGTAAGTTTAGTACTCTGTATTTAGAATTTTCTATAAATTTTAGTAATAATTTTTGTATTTGTGTTACTTAAGTCTTGGTACATATGAAGAATTAAGAGGAAGTAAGGAAAAAATGTAAAAGTATTTCATTACTAAGAATTTTGAACTCCACATAGGCATTGGTGACTCTCTGCACTTTGAGTCATTGGATCCACTTATTCAGCATTTGTTCCTGCCATGGGTCTCAGCCTGCTGTGGTTCCAGGCGAGTGGTGTTTAGAGAGGCGGTAACTTGACTCAGATGACTTGCAAAAAAGATTAACAAAGAAGGGAAATTGTGGTTCCAGCGTGCAGCCCTTTAATACTGTCTCTTAATGTAGACCACTGGGATTTCATGGTTGATTTTGATTTCGTTTTGAAAAGGGTTGTGTGTGAGCCTTTTATCAATCTTTTGATGCTTTATTTTAGCAGCTTAGTACTAAAAGCTTAGTTAAAATATTTCTCCTGTGAGTTTGTGTGACAGTTGACTTAGGCATTTATACTTTTATCTGGCTTAGTGCTTAGCTGTTAACCAGAAGGTTGATGGCTCATATCCACTCTGAGGCACCTCAGAGAAAGCTGATGACCCACTTCTGAAGGCCACACCCAGTAACACCGTTACAGAGTGGAATGGTACCGTGAAACACGTGAGGTATCCTGCACTGGCATCGACTTGACAACAACTGGTTATTTTTGTGTGTTGGTGTTTGTTGCTGTTGTCTTAAAATCCTGCAAAGGGAGAAATGCCCACAGTAGTGAAGGAACTGACGTTTTCATTCTGAAAATTTGTCCAACTGTTGTAAGAAGGTTTTGAAACAGGGGAGCTCTGGTGGCCTAGTGGCAAGACGCTGCACTGCAATCCCAGAGGTACGTGGTTCAAATCCACCAGATGCTCTGCTGGAGAAGGAGGGGCAATCTCCTCCTGTACCAGTCAGATCTGAATTGATGGTACATGTAAAAATAATACAGGAAAAAGAAAAAAAAAGGTTTTGAAAGAAAACTGTCTAATTTATTGTTTTCAGAAACAAATTGATTTGGAGGTGAAACTGTGATCAGGAAAAGGATGCAATTGAGTTGGAGAGGTGTTAGTGGAAGGAGGAACAGAAAACAAGAAACTGAAAAGTGAAAAAGAGGTGTCTTTGTCTTTGCTCCCCATCCATTGTGTTCTAGAGCCTGGGCTGCTCCTTCTCAGACTGTAGGCCTTCTCCATGGCCAGAGGAGGAATGGGTGTTAATTGCAGGTGTTCCTGAGACTTAAATCTATATTAAAATTTAAGAATGTTTTTGTTCCTGGGAAAGCATTAAAAAAGGGGTTCTTTGAAGCTGTACCTTTTGGAATGTGGGAGAGAGTGCCAAGGCACTGCAGTTTGTTCAATTAAAATTGAACTCATAAGTTTTATGGTAAAAAAGGGAGTACATGAGGGGACCAGTCCCCATCAACTGTCCAAACCTACTCACTTTGAAAATACCATACCACGTAAGAGATCAGTAGAGACTTTCTTTGTTTTCTGAATTTTAAAATTTGTAGACAAAGTACTGAAGGGTGCAAGTGTCATTTTTTATTATATTTCATAGCCAGACTGTACTTGGGACTGTTAAGATTACATGAACGTGTTTACTCAAAAGTTTGGTGTTGTGTGTTGATTTACCTTTTACGAATATTTCTGAAAATCTACTTGTTCTCTTCCTGGTCCCTCAGTGAATGAATTTGCTTATATCATATACATTGTTAGTTTGACTCCTTACACTTACAAATAGTGTACTGTTAAACTGTGATAAAGACTTCTATTCCAAGGAAGTATCTTAGGGATCAAGATCCTTGGTTCTACAGATACTTCCTTTTTTCAGATTTGTCATTGAAACAGATCCTTTTGAAATGATTTCTTTATGACCCCCTGCCTTGGTTGCCTAGTTCTGCTGTAACAGAGATACTAGTGGGTGGCTTTAACAGACACATTTCTCACAGTTTAGGAGACTCAAAGTCTGGATTCAGCAGCAGTTCTGTCTCCAGGAGAATCCCTTGTCTCTGTGAAGGCAGATTCTTGGCTCCTTGGAGATCCCACGTTGTGAAGAATCTGTCTTCCTGCTTCTATGCTTGCTTGCTCAATTTGCTCTCTTTATATCCCCAAAGAGTTTGTCTTAAAAACACAATCTAAACTAATACTGCCTCATTAACATAACAAAGAAAACCCATTCTCACACATAGGATTATAACCTGCAGGTATAGGAGTTAGGATTCAGAAAAGTTTTTTGGAGGTGCATTTCAGCCCATAACATTGTTTTATTCACTCAGGAAACAATAGCAATCCAACAGAGGGTTTTCAGGGACTGTGTTAAATCTCTAGCATTATCTTTTTTTTTTTTTAATACCAAAATCTGAATGAAAAAGCTATTAAAAACTTTGGTATTAAAATTCCCAGTGTTAAAACACAGTTTCTGTCCAGCTTTGTTGATGATTCTTTTTGGAGCAAATGACTATCTCTTCATTTTAACTTCTTGATGTTGTCATAACACCCACTCGGGTAAATGACTCACTTTCTGAGAATCACATTCTTTCCTTGCAATTCAGTGACCATTTGGGAGGGGGAGAAATGGTGAGATTACTGAATCGGGCAAAGTCAGTATTTCCGTTATGTTTCAGATCATTTTGGGGCAGTGGAGAATACAGGCAGTCTTTCAGACTTTTAAGGATTATGCATTTTATATCTAGCATTTCTTTTCTGGACAGAATTAACCACATCCAGAGTTAGCAAGACTAATTTACTGACTCTTCTGGGCTAGTATAGGATGTTTAGCAACTCTTTTTGGTTAAAGACAAAACTTTTGAGTTTCATCTGATATAAAGAGAGTCGAAGACAACAAACTCAAGATCGAATTTACTTCTGTCATTCAGTTGGGTTTTTGAGATTGTTTATCTTTTTGAGAGGAGATGACCTCATCTTCCTCCCTTGGATTGACTGGTGGATTTGAACTGCTGACTGTTTTGGTTAGCAAACAAACATGCAATGCACTATGCCACCAGGACTCCTTACATCAAGGTTACAGTAGGGGAATAATCTGTATCTGTTGGGATAAGAACCCCCAAAGCTGACGGTACTATCATTTGAATTGCAAAAGCAGGTTCAGGCTGTTGGTTTGAGACCTATCAAAGCGTGCTCCTAACGCCTGTCTTGATTGAATTGAAAGTGAGGATGCTCATGGTGCCCCCGTGTGGAAAATTGGTGGTACAGCACCTTTAAGAAGCTGAGTCCTGCAGTTGAGGATATCCAGAGGGATTTAAATCATTACTTACCTCTTCAGAGATTAATTTCCTGTTGATGGATTGAAGTCTGTCAGAACCAGTTTCCTAAAGTAAGAGGGAAGTGAGTTTACTTGAAAATGTTACAGATACATGAGACGACCATTCCCTTAATTCTGAGGATAAATAGTAGGGCAATTTCTATATTGTTCACTGCATTTTTCTATGTTTAAAAAAGTTTTGTTAAGTTTTTTTCCTTTTAATGAGGAGCCTGTTGGACCACTTGCCGTGCTGTATCCTGCAAGATAAAGGGTTCACAGCTGTCATCAAGAGCACTGCTTTTAACAGTAAACTGAAACCCATTTATTTCTCCTGCTCCTTCTTCCAGGTCACAGATTGTAAGGAGACTAAGCATGAGGAGGGAAGGCTAGAAAAAACACTTTAAAAGAATTGTGGTTGTATTTAGCAATTTAGTTGTAGAATTTAAGATACATTTCTAGATTAACACTGTCAAATTTTTTTCCAACCAGTAATTCAGAGCTTTTCAGATTAATTAAATATAATGAAATATCATCCAACGTGTGTGTGTATTTCAAAACAAGATGTAGAAGAGCTGTGATTTGTGGTGCCATGTACTAATGAGGCTTCCTGGGGCTCGTGCTTCAGCGGGCTGCGGAGATGAGTGTTGACTGGTGGAGAGGCTGATAATGAAGCATGTGATAACGGGGCTTTTTCCTGCTGGAGATGTTAAACATCTTTTGGTTTGAGAAATTTTAGCAGTTTTTATAGTTTTAGCAGCAGGGACACCAAGAAACAAAATAGAATTAACCAAAGATTTGCATGCAAGATGCTGCATTTTGACAGAAATAGAGAGTTGTGAATATTTTGAAAGCTGTTGTAGGACTATTGTGTGTTAATGCTGTAACTCCTTCTCTGTCTTACTCTGTGTCATGATATCTCAGTTTTTGCAAAATGAAAAGAAATATCTTTGTGGGAATTTCTTTTCCAAGGACACAGAAGCCATGAAGAGAGCACTGGCATCCATAGACTCCAAACTGAACCAGGCCAAGGGCTGGCTCCGTGACCCCAGCGCCTCCCCAGGTAACCCTTCTCATGTCACAGCAAAAAGTTACAGACAGAGCAAATTGAATAAGAGCAGGAGTCAGAAGGAAGGGAAGAAAGGAAAGAAAGATGCACGAAAGGAATTCTTTTGTAATCTCCTAAGCACAAGAGAGGGAGACCCTGGATGTGATAGATTGACAAAGTAACTGGAGTGATGGAGTTAAGTGGGTGAAAGAGTGAGACAGGCTCAATACAGAGTACGGTTTAGAGCTGATGTACATAGTGTCGCTATGAATCAAAGGCAACTTGATGGCACATAATAACAAAACAATCATGAGATAGCTTTTGTAACATTTTAGAATATACTCATTCTCTGAAAATTTTAACTACATGAAGCATTACCAGGCCTTATAAGGATAGAAGGGCTTAGATGGTATCATCTCATCATAGAGAAATGTACCAAGGTGAGCTGGGTACACTTTATAGAAAGAACGGTCCACTCCTTCCCTGAATTGGAAGGCAGTGCTTTTGAATAACAGCTCTTCTCGTATCATTTCCATTGGGCAGATTTCCATTTATGCCAACAGACTACTTCATTAAGCAGATTAAACGACAATACCAATAAGAATGGGGAAGCAAAATGGACTATATAACTATAAGCCCAAAATAGATTATTGAGCTAGACTTTATGGATCTTCTAATCTAATATTTATTTAATGTTAGATTTCTACTTGAATGAATGAGGAAAGAAAAGTTGAAGGTGCTAAGTACTATTAAATTGTTAAGAGTATGTTTCCATCATGTACAATCTTACCACAAGCTTCTTAGCAACTCCCGATAGACATGGCTCTGGTATCTTTGTTAGCAATGTCCGTGGTTGAAACCTCACCTTATGTTTGTAAGGGCTTCACGGCTGTTAGCTATCAGATACATTGCCTTCTGTCCACTTGTCCTTTAAAACCATCCATCCCTTCATGAATGAAATGACTTGTAAAGTATCCTCGTTAAATAATTGATGTGTCAACCATGTAGATATTGAATATCTCTTCATTTTAGGCGATGCCGGTGAGCAGGCCATCAGACAGATCTTGGATGAGGCTGGAAAAGTTGGTGAACTCTGTGCGGGCAAGGAGCGCAGGGAAATCCTGGGTACCTGCAAGATGCTGGGGCAGATGACGGACCAGGTGGCTGACCTCCGCGCCAGGTAAGGTGGTCCTGCTCTGAAAGGAGCAGGTGGGACAATATGATCTCACTCTTAATGGGTGGTTCAGGAAGCACATTTCTGCCACCTTTACAGAATTATCTTTTTTGGCTGAGAGATTGTGTTTTAACATAGAGGCTAACTTCTCCTTTGTTGAAAGCCTTAAAATATGAAAAATACTCTGCAATAAAGTTGAAACTTTCTGCAACTGGAAATTGAAATATAAACTTGTTTTTTTTCAGTTCCTAGCTATGTTGTTGTTATTTGCTGTGGAACGAGAACCGACTTAGTAACTCTCGAGCTGGTTTTCAGAGTCACAGGAGGAGATTCATTTTCCTTTGGGTTGAGCTCCCTTGTAGCTAAGGCATGTGAAAAATAATGGGCAGTGGTGAAATTTGGCTTGAGTAGGTATCTTTAGGGAAGGATGGATAAAAAGGAATGCAGAGTGTAAAGTTGTTAAAGTTATTTCATGTATAGTTTTTAAAATCATTTTAATAGATTTATCCTGTAATTTGGCCGTTCCCAGCCTCTTTTGAGTTTCTGTTTCATCATTATTATTTGATTTTATAATTCCTTTACACCACTTTCACCTGTCTCAAGTCTTAGCATTTACAGTTTTAGAGTAAGGGGGCTCTGGTGGCATAGTCTGTAGGGGGTTGCACTGCTAACCCAAAGGTCATATACCTCACTGGCCTTTACGTTCATAGCAGATCCGTGGGAAAGAGATAGATGGTCTCCTTCTATTCAATTTATGGTGTTGGAAACCCACTGGGGGCAGGGAGGGCCAGCCAGTGGTACAATGGCAATGAGTAAAATAGTGCTAGAGTATTTATTTTCTACTATGAACCTAATAGTTACATAATTCCTTTACATCCTTTTCACCGTTTTGAGGTATTGAATTTTGGGAATTTTTCTTCCAAAAAAAGAAATACATAGTTTGCTCTGAAAAAAACTCTGATCATAATAAGAGTTTTCTTTAGAGCTCATTCATAGTTAATAAGGAAAGATTGTCATTTTTATAAAATTTTATGATATGGTCATTTTAAGCAATTCAGATATAATGAGACTAATGCAGACAAAGTTGAATTTCTTTTGGAAATATCCCGAGACATCTTGAAATAATTGGAATACACAAACAGGGCTTAGAAATGCTCCTCAAAATATTACACACCATTGCACATAGATTCAAATGCATGAATATAATAGACTTGAGTAGTATTAGGTTTTTAAAAGGTTGATTGATCTTAACGATTTTGGACCAAGATTGCTTTCATAGAAAACTATTAACATGTGTACAAAAGGAATGCATATAAACATGCCTGCACAATATTAGGTATCATGTCCAGAGGTTCATGGACTCATTGTGGCCCAGGGCTCTCCATAGGCTTCAGGTTAAAAGTCTCCACCTTAAAGAGGAGAAGAAGCAGCTTAAATAAACATGATCCCAGCGACCTCGGCCAGCCTTTTCCTCCTGCTGTGAGCAGTCTCCCCCGTCATGAGCATGACAAGGACTATGCAGAAAGGACAAAAAGGAGTTCTGTTCCCATTCGAGATGCCAGGGGAGTTTGACAAGGCTCTTGGCTCTTCTCCTTTCTCACTGCTGCCTCTTTTGTCTGAAACCTTTTCACAGTGTGTTAGACAGTTTTCACTTGGAATCTCAAGTCCACAGTTCTGTGTGTTTAGAGACAGATGAATACAAGCGAGAGAATAAGGTAGTTGCTGGATGAGGTCGACCATTAATCTGTGAAGAGAAAAGGTAGGAACAGTGATGAGAAACGATGGGCCCACTTCACATCGAGCCTGCAATATCTGTTTACGATGAAATATTAGAAAGCTATCTCCCTGATCTTCCTTCTTTAATATGTTCAGCTAGTTAACATTTTAGTGGCTGAAAAGCAGTAATAATTTCTTCCTTGATAGTCTTCTTCTCGATATTCAATCTAACAGTGTTTTTTGACTTGTTTTTCTAAAACCTGTAAATATATATATATATAGGATTCAGTGACCTTTCTATTCTAAATGAGAAAAATTGCCATCCATAAACATTTTTCTTTTTCGCAGTTGCCTTTGATACTGAAATGTTTCAAGAATGACTAAGTTTGAAGGGAAAAAAAGGAATGGAATGACAGCACATTTTGGAGACGTGTTCCCCACCACAGCCATGGCCAGGGAGCTCTCGGGTACATGCAGGAGTGCTTTGTGTGCCCTCATGTACCTGCACCCAGGCCTGTTGCCATGGAGTTGATTTGGCCCCACCCACGATGCCATGTGTATCTCAGTAGCACTGTGCTACTGAGCACAGGCAGGTTTTAGTGGCTAATTTTCCCTCCTTTGGAAGTAGATCACCAGGCTCTTCTGTGTATCTTTGGCCAGACTCAACTGGCCAGCCTTTCAGTTAACAGCTAAGTGAGATTTTTTTGCCACCTAGGAACCCCTTTGCCCACATATCAATGTGTGGCACTTACTGCCTCTCATGTATTGCTACAGATGAAATATAGAGGGGATCTTAAAATGAGGAGTGAGAAATAAATAAACATCCATACTAAGGGATACAAAGATGTCTTGGAGTTCATCCTACAGCAAAAAGTTCAGATTAGGGTTGCTCAGCTATGTCTTCCTACTAAATTGTCATGTTTCTCCCTCTCAGAATTTATCAAGTTGGGTGAATAGAAAAGATCTGACCTTCGATGGCAGATCTTACTTTCTTACTACTTGGAAAGTCTCTTTCATAGAATAAACCCATGCTAATTCATATCAATATTTGTAGTAGGAGCACAACACTTCTCAGAGAGGAACATGGTGAAATAAGTTCTTCAGGAACTGGACAGTAAACAAGGGCATACCCATGTGCTTTCCCTTGATACTGACTAGTTTTTATATTTCTAGATTGCATAGTAGTAGAAGGCAGATATATAAAAATTACTATTAGTTTCATTAGGGCCTAGTGGGTAAGGAGTTAAGATGTTAACTCAAAGACACACAGTTTGAATCCATCAGCTGCTCCACAGGAGAAAGATGGACTTTCTCCATCTGTATGATTTATAGCCTGCGAAAAGCTGATGGAGGGTCCGAGTTGATTGTGACTCTGTGGCACATACCAACAACACTGGGTTCATTATAGTGACAATGATGGTTATGTTTCAGTTGTAATTATCAGCTGTGTATTGGTAGAGCTTTATTGCTTGAATGTTTTCAAGTATATTTATTGATGCTGAAAGAAACTCTGTTAGGTAACCAAGAGAAAGACAATATTGTTACTTTCCAACTCTCATTTTATAAGTTAGGAAACCAAAGCTCCACAGATTATGGGGTCAGAGTGGAACCCAGTGCTGCTCAGTTCCATTAACCATACATGCTGCCCCCTGAAATACTTTGTATTCATTGGGATGTATGGGATGTAGATTGCCCGTACATAAGACATTCTGAAGGGCTGTTTCTAAAGCCCACGTCACTATGGTAACAGAGGCCTCAGTAAGCAATAAGCACACAAGCTCATTTCTCCCCTGAAGTTTAGATCTGATTGTATAATCACCACTACAAGGAGAATCATTATTATCAAGATTGGCAGACTTGGTCTTTCATAGTGGTTACACAATTCTATGAGGGTAATGTGTAGTTTTTAAAGCAAAGGAGAAAATTGATGGCTCAAATGTCTTTTTTACCTCCATGATTTCTTGTGCAATCCCATATTTACTGGGGAAGAAGGGAAAGAAGACAGGCATGTAAACAAAAATGACACGTATTGTACCGTGAGAAACCTAGTGGCCCCCTCATGTGTCTGTTTTGTGCAGAGGACAAGGTGCCTCTCCGGTGGCCATGCAGAAAGCCCAGCAGGTGTCCCAGGGTCTGGACGTGCTCACAGCCAAAGTGGAGAACGCAGCCCGGAAGCTGGAAGCAATGACAAACTCAAAGCAGAGCATCGCTAAGAAGATTGATGCTGCTCAGGTAGTGATGTGATTGTCAAGAGGGATGGAGAAATGAAAGAGAGAGTGAGCTGCTCCATAAATATCCTTTTTCTCCTGCTCCCTTCTCTCGTCCCTTGCTCTCTCTCTCTCTCCTCTCTGTCTCTTTCCAGGGTTGAGGAAGCTGCCAAACAGAGAGGGAAGAGTCATTTATTTCCTAGTCAGTGACTGTGGGTGGATAATGGGTGTTTCTGGGCGATGACTGATGCTCTGCAGTTGTCGGTGTTAACATCTCCCCAGTCACCTCTGGCTTAAAAGATTGCTTTTATATTTTGAAGTGAAGATTTAAATTTTTGAATACTTTGATTAGTTATGAGTAAATCCATTGAGTGCCAGAAGAATATTAGTTTCTGGTGCTGATTATAGTCTATTAAAACTCTTATCTCAAAATTCTCACCATTTGATTAAAAGTAATGTTGAAAGGTTTGAGTTTTTCAATTCTAGCCCAGTGTAAAATTATTTTCAAGCACTTAACCTGAGTAGCAGCAAATGTTTAAAAAAACTGCACAATTAGTAAAGTCTGATTAATTCAAACATGAGTTCAAACAAATCTTGTGAAGGTATTTTATTCTAATGAATCAGGGAAACTAATTCTTACTCAAATGAAAGGCCCTTACCTGAGCTAAGAAATTACATAAAATAGTAAACAATAGCATTGTAAAAATGATCACTGGTGTATCTTGTGGTTATTTCTGGTGCCTTTGTTAGGTGTAATAAACGGCAGTTTGTCATTAGGTCATTTATTTCTTCCCCTTTTCTGTCTGGGTAGAATTGGCTTGCTGATCCAAATGGTGGACCAGAAGGAGAAGAACAGATTCGAGGAGCTTTGGCCGAAGCTCGGAAAATAGCAGAATTATGTGATGATCCTAAAGAAAGAGATGACATTCTTCGCTCCCTTGGAGAAATATCTGCTCTGACTTCTAAATTAGCAGATCTACGAAGACAGTATGTATTTAATCCCTTAAATTATCCTTCAACTAATCAGTACCCTTTTTCTTGAACCAAAACACATACAAGCGTCAATTCCCATAAGTCAGATGGATGAATGGCGCTCCTGCTTGTATTTTGAGTGATTCTATGTCTGGGTTAGGCATTCTCTCTTATGACAAACTGAAATCTAATAATTTATTGCTAGATTGAAAGTTTGAAATTATTGATAGTTTGAAATTAATAGGAAAGTGAGGCTAAGAGCTCATTTTTGAATCTAGAAAATATCTAAGCTGGGACTTTTCCTGCCTCATCATATCTGTGACTAGGTATGAAAAGACATGGTGTGGATGAGGTTCACTTAAGAAGATGCTTTCTTCCCTACCGTGTTCTTTCTTAAGTTAGCAGTTATAAGAGATCCTCTGATTACATTTCTTGGGTGATTATTTCTCTAACAACTTTCTTTTAGGAAAGCTTCCTTTCCTAAAGACTTTCCTGGTGCCTACAACAAGAAGAACTTGGTTATTTGAGGCAAAACATGTTGCTTTCTTCTTTTAATGGGTACTTTTTCTTCTTAAGAAAAAAGAGCAATAATGCTAGTAGAAAAACAAACATACACATAAGGGAGGGAACAAGATGAAAAAAGTAACTCTTTCCTACTTTAGTCCTCAAATCCCATCTCCACGGAAACCAGTTGACCAGTGTCTTATGAGATTCTGCTTATAGGTCACTTGCATGCTTCATTTCATATTATTCCTTGGGGAACTGCTGCCCGTTTTCCAGTAAGGGGTGCTTTATAGAGTTCTTCAAAGTCTTCTGTTGATTAAGAGGACAGCAATGGCTGGGAGGGCAGACACCTGTCGAGCAGTGTGATTTGGTGGGAGCAGACCAACTTAGGTAACAGCACAAATTCGTTACCTACATTTAGCCACTTAGGAATCACTGCTTCAGACCCAGAATCTTGAATTACTTAAGGTGAGAAAATATTTAAGAATTTAAAAATTTACTTGTCTAAATAATTATCTACTTTTGTTTATATTGTTGTTCATTACCATTGAGTCGAGCATGAGTTATAGCGACGCTGTGAACAAAAGGCCTTGAAGCCTTTCTATAACTAAGTTCATAGAGTTTCCAGAGGCATGTTTAGAAAGTGGATGCCACATGGTCAATTTACATTCTTTTTTAGTTTTTAATCTATTATGGTTGATAGGATATATAGCACTGCCGCATTGTCTTGCTCTGGGGTTTATTGGGCAGCTGCCTGCCCACTTGACAGTGCCTGCAGTACAGGCGGGACCCGTGTGACTATTTGGAACATAAGAAATGGACATTCACCAAAAAGAACCATTTTATAACATTAAATGAGGGAATACATTCTCAGGGTGTGATTTTGCAAATCATCTGACCCTTTAAACTTTTTTACTGGGCAAGAAATCTTAGGTGTGTCAGAGGCAGTGCGGTTGGCGCAGGATAGAGCAGGGTTTAGGGCTGTTATGCATAGGGTTGCTATGAGTCGCAAACGACTCGACGGCATATAACAACAATATCAACTATGCAATATTTCCAAATTTGAGGGCTAATCCTCAGTTGCCATATCTGTTAGTCTACTCTAAGTGTGTTCTATTATACATAGGGTTTTTGAAGGCCTGATATATTTCAGAAGTGCGTGGCAAATCCTTCTTCCTAGCCTTTCTTAATTTGGATGCTTAGTTTTAGAATAATAACTGATAGACAAGCATTTTACAGAGCAGATGAAAAACACTTCCCTTACAGAAATAACCAATACATTCGCTGTCTACCCACCCAGGAACGTGTGTCTTGTCTCTTCCCTTTCCCTGCTACATCAGCATTCCTTGCACTCTGCCTATTTGGTTCAGCCCACCCTCCCCCCACCCACCCTGTGATATGATAGCTTAGTCTGCAAGTCATTTCTGTGAGGTGTTGCACCACACGCTGCTACTGGTCTCTCACGCTATTGCCTGTCTTGTGTTTAGCACAATCTAAGTCCAAAGCCCATGTACCAGCTTCAGGGAAAGATTTTTTTCCTGAGGTAGTACTGGGGGGAGAGAGGTCCTTGCTCCTGAGCTTCTGCTGTATGGCTGCCGTTTTGTGACTCATGCTAGGAAGGGTGAGGGGAAGGTGTAGGAGAGGAAGATGCCAGATGACATGAATTGAGACAGTAACTGGTGCATTGGGAGGTTTGGTGTGTCGGAATCAGTGAGATAGGCTCAGACCAGGTCAGATTTCAGAGCCGCTGTACACAGGGCCATCATGGGTTGCAGGTGACTCAACAGCACATAACAACACTATTTGCAGGTGTTCATGTAGCTTAGTACCTAATGTGTCAGCAGCTAGCCAAAAGATTCGTGGTTTGACTCTATCAGCTCTGTGGGAGAAAGATAGATAGTCTCCCCTATAAAGATTTACAGCTTCAAACATGCAGTATGTGGTCACTCTGAGTTGGACTTCACTCAGTGACACCCTCCCACCCCCCCAAACCAGGGATGTAAGTTCATGTTTGTGTGAATACCACATTTATAGGCGTAGTGGTAAGAAATTGCACTGCAGTCCAAAGGTAAGCAGTTCAAATTCACCAGCTGCTCCACAAGAAAAAGTTGGACAGTCTTCTCTCATGGGATTAAAATTGCCTCTGAAAACCCACTGGAGGATCAGCTATTGGTTGGTTCTGACTAAACAGTACCCAACAACAAATTGTATGCAGGAATCTAGAAGGCTGTGTGGAATCTAGAGGGACATATGGGTCCCATTAATCCTACCCAAGTCTAGAGGGACATGTGTACCACATAATTAGTAAGTGTGCTCCCATATAATTCTACCTGAGGCCAGAGGCATGCATGTAATGCTTGTCTCATGTAATGTTGCAAAAATCTGTATTTTGTAACACATTTCTGAAATCCTTCTTGAGTTAGCATGCTTTCCACTAGTGAAAACATATGATTTCAACAAAAATTTATATCTCGAATATTTGGATTGTGAAAGAGTTAAAATATTCACAGGGCAGAGACTGTAGTATTCTCAGGATCTCACTCATGTCCATATATATGCAATAAGCTTCCTTAAATGTTTCTTAATGGTGAAGAATTAATTTATGATAAGAGTAATAAAAGCACTTCATATATGAGGCCACTCATGCTATCATATACATACTAATTATCACATGTACAGCAGCCAAAATATGACTTTGATTTCATACCACCTGAATTTCAGAATCATCTCAGGAACGGGTTTGAGGCCTTGAACACTAATGAGCGAAGACCAGATGAGTTGTGGGAGGATGTCAAAG